TAATATCGCGTTATCAAGACATAGATAGCGATCGTTTAAAGTTTACGGTTTTTTTTTTCAAGAAGTGAACAATGCTACCGTATCGAGATTAGTATCATTTCGATCGTCGTCGTGGATCGTAAAATAAACCGACGTTACAGTAAGATTCTAGTCAGTCAGTCAGTCAGTCAAACCTAAGAAGAAGATACCAGTGATAGAAATACGGTTTTCTTAACTTGTTTTGTGATTCCGGCGGCGGCCATGATACGAAATTCGTCTCGTGAAATCGATCGATTCGGACGATCCGATTAATAATAAAATAAATAAATAAATAAAAAAAAAATAAATAAAAGAAAGAGAACAACAACGATCGAAATATTTACAAATTTAACTTTTTTTTTTCCTCATCGTATTTAAAAAATTCGTAGAAAACGTATATCGAGTTATTTTTTTCTTTTTTTTTTTGGGCGGGAAGAAAAATAAGAAGATTAAAGGAGAAGAAAAAAAAATATAAATTCCAATTAATTAGAAATAAAAGTTTAATTTTAATTGGACAATATATAATATAGGATAAAAATGCTAAAATAAAATTAAAAAAAAAAAAAAAAAGAATTTATCGTGAAACATACATATACGCGTATAGCAGCACATGTACGTTGATAATCAGATAAGTCAAAAGTGTGAATTATTTTCTAAATGTGTATTGTGTTACGATAAGTAAATACTTAATATAGAGCACACACCAACAAAAAAAATAATAATAAGTAAAAGATATAATATAGAATCGGTGTGTAAATTATATATAAGTGGTGCACAAGAAGAGGTCGCTATCGATCACAATGAATATGGTACTTTGGATGTGTATCGATAACAACGACGACATCGATAGATCGATAGGACCAAGAAATATCTGTGAACAAAATGATTGGATTGGTAGGGAATCGGGTTATGCCGATTTTACCGATGATCATGAAAATAATGATAACAGGAGGATGATCATGATGTCATCGTCATCGAAAGATTCGAATTACCATCTTGATCCTGTTTCCAATATGACTGTCTTTAAAAAAATGAAAACTAGAACTATGATAACAGATAATGAACAACAACAATCCATCATAAATTCGGATTCACATAAATCACAAATTTGTCGAAATAATAATACGATCAACAATTATAATTCTAATTTGAAACCTTGCAAATTTGGTCCTGTGGATGTTGAAGACCTGGCCACGTGTTTTCAACAAGAAAATTTCACTAAAACTCATGAACCACCATTAACACGTAATACTCGATTAACTAACAATCAACGTTTATATCGTGGAAATTATCGTACGAACAATTCATCGTTTAATTCGTCATCAGATTCTTCTTGCCGATCGTGCCCAAAATATATTGAAACAACTACGATTAATGATAATAACGTTTCAATTAATGATACGATTAAATCAATCGATACTCGTGTACCGCCATTTGTAAGAAATTCGATAGAAGAATTTTATACGAATCCTTTTGAATTTTGTACGGAAAAAAAATGGTTGGAATGTCCTGTCAGTGATTATTGTCCATTGTACGAGAAGAATTTTTCTTATATATGTAATAACAATATTTTACCGCCATGTATCAATGATAATAATAATAATCATCATTTTTGGATGGAGTATGGTAGTAATCCTTGGAATTATTTCACTATGGAGGATGAAAGACTAATGGAGGATTATTTGTAAGTGAAAATTATTTCAATAGGAACATTTCTTTTTTTTTCTTTTTTATATTATTTATAATACAATTATTATCTTAAATATTTATCTTTAATATTATCTATTAATTTGTATTTTATTCAATGAATTATTAGAACAAATTTATGTGTGGCTCTGACCATACGTTGCTATGGTTTTTATTTTTTTTTATAAAATGTTGATTTAATATTGTTCTAAATTATTTAGTAAATTATAATATAAGAACACACAAAATAATACTACAATTATAATGAAATATATAAAATAATATTATACACGAAAAAATATAGAAAGTAAGGGTAGTTTTATCGAAATAATTGAATTGTAATACAGCACCATCTATTGAAAGCTTATAAAACTTAAAGACCAACATAACCTTTAAATAATAAATCTTTAAATTAGCAATAAAAAATACCAAATAATATTATATAAAACTATAATTATAATATTAATTAATATAATTAATATTTTATAAATTATATTATAATAATAATAATAAATATTATATTTATTAATATAATATTAAAATCACAAAATTATAATATTATATTATATAAAAATTATTCTATCTGCAGCATTAAAAATAAATAAATTATAAATAAGTAAATTTTAATATTATTAATAATATAATATTATATTAATAATATTATTTTATTTTTAATAATAATAATATTATTAATATAAATAAATAAATTTATAAAAAAAATTTCACATAAAATAAAAAAACAATTAATTAAGATTCGTTCAGTAGTTTCGAAGTTCAATTGAATACTAGCAAAGTGACACTGAATTTTTCTATATAAAGATTTATATATATATATATATATATATATATATATATATATATAGTATTTATATTATATAATAAATATTATAAATATTATATATAAATATATTTATGTTGTTTTCAACTTGCTATAGAACGTTTTAGGGTTTTTACAATGATCAAACATGTTCTAAGATAAAAGGAAAGTATTCTTCAGCGGAAATACATATAAAAGTCGTGATAGCAGATAAATATCAGAACGTTGTGGTGAGAGAGTTCTTCACCCTCATAAAGATTTATGACATTCTCTCTTTCACATATATTTTTTTCTTCCTTTCTTTAGATAGAGGGATAGAGAAAGACAAAAAGAAGAAACAAAACATGAGTTTATTCTGTTATAGTTATAGAACGTTGGATCTAAAATAATATATTATATCACCTAGCTTGAAATAAATAGAATCGATGGTTTAAGGATACAAAAAAGTGAATGGAATTTTTCTATTGACTGTACATAAAAACATTTCTTTTTTTTTGCATTTTTTCCATTTTTTTTTGTTCTATCTTTTTTTTATGCGAATCCGTTAAAATGTGAGAATTAGTATCAGCAATGGCAAACTCGTGACCCATGGGTTGTTTTACGACGCGTGAACAAATTTTTAGTTGATTCATGAACTTTCTACGATATTCAAATAAAATGTTGTGTTAATCGTACGAAAATAACCGAGTGAGATATCAAATATTTGTAAAATTCAAAAAGATAATCGTTGAATATTTCTATTCAATTATTATTAGAATATTGTTGTTAATTTAAATGTGTAATTATTTATTATTTATTTTTATAAATTTATTTATATAAATTACTCTGAGAACACGGTGAAATAATTAATTTGGAAACATAACGTAATTAATTTTGCAGTAGTTTTCATATGAAATAATATTATTTATATTTTGATTTAGTTTTTCGTTTCTACTTTTTTCTTTTCTTTTTTTGCAACTGTAAATAGATACATATATATAAAATTTATTTTTTTTATTTATTTTAATTTTATTTTATTTGATATTTATTTATTTTTATTTTATATTTATATTTATTTAATTATTTTTATTTTATATTTATATTTATTTAATTATTTTTATTTTATAGAATTTATTTATTTTTTATTTATTTTAATTTAATTATTTTTATTTGATATTTATTTATCTTTTATTTTTTTAAATTTAAATATTTTTATTTTATATTTATTTAATTATTTAATTATTTTTATTTTATATTTATATTTATTTAATTATTTTTATTTTATATTTATATTTATATTTATTTTTCATTTATTTATTTTAATTTATTTTTATTTGACATTTATTTATCTTTTATTTATTTTAATTTAAATATTTTTATTTTATATTTATATTTATTTAATTATTATTATTTTATATTTATATTTATTTATTTTATAGAATTTATTTCTTTATTTTTTATTAATTTTCAAATGACTCGTTTTACATATTTCTCATTTGCTACCTGAAGTAAATACTTGTAAATAAATTTTTTATTATATTTTTACTTCTCATTAAAAAAAAAAAAAATAAAAAAATAAAAAAAGATTTTCTTCATCATTTATTTTCCTCTACAGAGTATTGTGATAGTTTAACATTAAACATTATTGCATTCACTTACTATTCGCGTATATTGAAACTTTATGTTTTTATTACGTAGGATTTAAAAAAGATATGCAAATAAAACATACGGGACTTTACCTATACAAACGTAATTATCAACGATACTGCTAAACCATTCGGAATTACCCAGTTAAAACAAATTTCGAGTTATTTCATGACTAATTTATTACTATTCCCTTATTTTATATATATTTTTAGTTTGTATATCGTATTTGCGAATACGTTGAAACAACTATACGCTTAGAATAGTTTGATAAAAGAAAATAAACAAAAAAAAATAATAAAACAGGTGATGAATATATATATGTGCCTATAATTATGAAAGTGGTGGTCTAAGTCATATATCTCTTGTTTCGAGATATTTAAAGATTTATACTTGAACACTATATGAATTCTACACAATATTGAAATAACAAACATTATCTAACGATTTATTTTTAATAATATCGTTTTCAAATTACATTGAATTTATTTAGTTTATAATAATGTAGTGCGTAATAACTGATAAACTCATTTTTTTTTTTTTTTTNTTTTTTTTTTTTTTTTTTTTTTGTTTTTTTTTTTTAATTTAGACTTACATTAGACCATTTTCATAATTATGGGCACATATATAGTACGTAAATTGCATTATTTCGTTGCATTTTTTCAAGGTATTGATCAAATGAAATAAAAAAAAAAACTAATGAAATATATTTATTAAAAACTTTCACACGATTTAAGTGTCGTTTATACAAACGAAATTATTTAAGGGTATGGGGAAGTGGTTTCTTCGTCTTTTCCTACTTCTGTTTTTGATTTAATTTCTATGATTTGTTTTTGTTTTGTTTTTTGTTTTATAGGAGCAACGAGAAAAGAAAAGAACGATCTCGTGATGCAGCAAGATGTCGAAGAAGCAAAGAAACCGACATTTTTACGGAACTTGCTGCTGCATTACCAATATCACAAGACCAAGCAACTCATCTTGATAAAGCCAGTGTCATGAGACTTGCCATTGCTTATCTCAAAGTACGAGCGGTCGTTGATTCCAGTGAGTTTTATTATTTTTATCCTTCTTTTCTATACTTCTTCTATTTTTTTTTCTTTTTTTTTTTTTATTCACAAATCCATCACTTTTTTTATTCTCATTTTCATTATATTACATCAATTAATAAATAAAAAGTATCGGATAATATATATATTTAATAGTATTTTGTTAATTGTACACTAATTTTAATTTTCACGATATTTTTATTTGTATAATTCAATTTTAAATTTGAGTAATAAAATTATTTCTATATAAAAAAAATTATACTGTGCTACCAATTGGATATCTATATTATATTAGTTAATTAATATATAATAATAATAATAATATAATATTATAAATATATAATAATATTAATAATAATAAATTATATATTTTTATAAATTATAATAATTTTAATAAATTTTATATATTTTTAATATTAATAATAAAAAATATATATTTTATCTAACTTTTATAGATATTTTATATTATAGATATTTTTAGATAGCATATTATATTTTATTTAATATTAAATAAAATTGTATATATATATATAATATTATTAATATAAATTAAATATAAATTAAAATTATTTATAGATATTTTATATTATAATTATTTTTAGATAGCATATTATATTTTATTTAATATTAAATAAAATTATATTAAATTATATAACCTAAAAATATTAATAATTATAATATTAATTATTTTATATATAAATATTATATTATAATTATATATATATACTCTGTTTCTTCTTCATATATTTTGTGATTTATTTAATTTTATTTTTTCTCTTCTATTGTTTTTTTTTCCTCTAGTACCAAGTGCAGTCACAAAATCAGAAACTTCAGTGAAATTGGATGAATTGTTTCCGGAAGCATTGAATGGATTTATGCTGGTATTATCCAACGATGGAAATATGGTTTATCTATCAGAAAATGTTAGCGATTTTCTCGGAGTATCGCAGGTACGTTTATACGTGTTACTCATTTGTAATAAATTGTTTTTTTTTTTTTCTTTTTATGTATTATATATTCGCAAAACACTTTATTACATATCGTGTTGAACAACAATATGTATTATTAA